TTGCTCCTGGCTCTTTGAACTTTGTCCTGAATGGATGTTGGTCCCACAGCGGCCAAAATTTTTTACCTACAACCTGTACCCACTAGAACGGGTCCTGACCATCTAACATCTTGAGGAAAAAAAACTTCATTTTTTTTTGTGATGTGAGTAAAAATAACCCGGTGCCAGGGTCGATCTGGTCTTAGAAGGGTGAGGCCAAGAAAGTTTCCCTGTGGACTACTGGCCAAGGCTCCCCCTTGATTATCTATTCTGAACTTCCCCCTGGGTTTGACTCCTGGTTGCTTCCTTTTTGAGGCCGCTTCCGTTTCTGCAACTGCAGCCCTACTCGAGTTCATGCCGGCTCCTTGGGGCAGCCTTGGAGGGGCACTGTGGATGGGTGGGTGGAGTCCACAGAGAACTGTGTACCGTCAGCTGCTGGTCTGACCTGCTGCAGTGTCCACTTGTGGGATCCATGAGCAAAAGTGGTGTCAGACCATGTTGAGCTGCGCCCCAGGTGTACATCTACCTCCTCTGGCCCACACCTACATCTGGGGTGCAGTTTGACGTGGCCCAACACCACTTTTGCCCGTGGATCTCACAAGTGGCCACTGCAGCTGGCGGTTTTTCCGTGGACCCCACCCCTGCATCCATGTTGGCACCCAATGGACACAAGGTGATGTCCCCGTGCAGCCTGGAGTCACTGATCTGTAAGTTTGGGTGCCACCGGCCAGCCTGCCAAAAAAAACTGCCCTGGTGCAGATCAAACACGTGACCAGATGACAGGACCAAGCATCAGAGCTTCACCGCTTGGCCAACAACAACTTGCAGGGCAAGCCCCTCTTCACCAGCACACCGGCTCACCCCAACCTGTTTCTTAACCCATGACAAAAAAAATTTGTTGAAGTTTTTTTTTCCAATTTTTTTTTAAAAACAACAGGACCCACATTTGAATGGAGCTGAAGCAAATGTGTATTCATCAAAAAGATTTCTTCTCATCACACACTTTCAGCTGCCTCTGACTCATGATGTGCTCTGAAAAAAACTTTCAAGAGAAGATTCAACTACCTTAATTTCTGTCTTAATGATAATTTACATAAGAACATCCCATTTGTGTTGATTAAGAAATAAAATTATTTGCAACACATACACTGATAGTCCTGAGTGATTTTACCCAGGAAGACCTAGGGAGTTTCAACCTAAAACCCCAAACATGTATGGAAACAAAAAAAAGGATAGACCAATTCTGCATCACATATGGACTCTTTGGCCTAGTGTCAGCCCCCTTACTACCTTCGCCTCAGGGCTGCTTTACATAAATGATAAATTCCCAATCACCTATTGGATCACATGCTTTTTACCTCTGGAGGGTTCAACTATTCAGATAACTCCCAGTGGCATAATTGACATCATTGACCAACTTGCACAATTAAATTCACACAATATATCTTCTCCAAGAGGGCTTGAGTTTTCCCCTTCTCATTACTTGAGAAATAGTAGCCAAGCCATAAAAATCAATAAATAGCCATACATGTGGTCAATTCCAGAGCTTTGTCCTGAGCTATCTGTGATTTAGGGAAGGTGACATGATTGGTTTTTGCAGGTAATTTCAAATAGAATCTTAAGTTGATACTCCCTGCTCTCCATTCCCACCACTGTTGACATTGTTTATATCAGATGATGAAGAGTAATCTGATTGTTATTTCTCTTGATCAGCTTGACACTTGTTTACTGACATTTTTGATGTATAGACTTAGATGAACCAGAAGTCTTTCAGCTAAGTTAAGTAGGAGAGGCCAAGGCAGCATTCCATCTGCAAACCTCAAGTTCACTTGCCTTTCCCATTAACTTGAATACTCACCCATGGCAGTATAGTCAGAGTTGATAGCCCACAGCATGCAGACTGGAATTAAAATACATCATCAAAAACATGTAAAATTTAGTAGGTCTTCAACACACCAGGCTTGAGCTATGAAGGCTTGTTGAATTTCCATGTTGGTAAGAAATGAAGTATAGCCAGTGTTGTTCATAATCATGCCGCCCAGTCTGCTGGAAATGACAAGACCAGTCAATCTATAAGACAAAAGAAGGTGGGTGAGGTAGATGATAGCAGCTGATTTATAGACAGGCCATAAAATAAAGTATGTCTATCACAAGTTTAGGTTTCTTGCACTCACTACTCATGTCCCAAACTCAAACATTGAAAAAAAGGGTTTTTTCCAGGGCCCCTTGGGGCTATCATGATACAAGTAACTACTTTTTCTTTGTTTTTTTGTGTGCAAGATTGGTTTCCATGCTTGAGTACTTTTTTGCCAACAATTTATTGTTTTTCATTCCCCAACGATACATGGTTGCATGACAATTTCAGGTGTTATTGCCATACATGGGCCAGTGCACCTGCCACCCATTGGGAACAGACTTTTGTGCCCTTCTTCCCTTTGATAGTGGAGCTTTGATCATGGCCACAGGAGGGGCGGCTGGCCTCTTCCAACTGTTGACACACTTCTTTTACTTTAGCTGAGAACAACTCATTGTTGCGTAGGAGTTCCGGATCTTTTGATACTGCTTCGGACACTATGTAGCCCAGTTGTTTGGAGTCTACGTCTGACCCATCTGGTATGTGTTTGGCAGCCTTCTTAGCCAGGCCCTACGCCTAGCAGAGATTTATATTCATTGCCTGTGAAGGCTGGAGGCCCAGCATCGCGAGCAAGGATATTGTAACAAACGTCGCTTGAATCCAAGTCTTGGCCAAACGCATGGTGGATAGGGCTCCGTTGAAGTTTGTTTGAAAGTGACAGTATTTAGACCAGGGTGACCATAGAAGGGATCAAAATGTTTGTGATGCTCCAGAGTTTCTGTGCAAAAGTCGAGTTGGCTACTGACTGATCGAGAGGAGGGGGGCGTTTGATACCTCATAAGAGCATTAAATAGGTGTTTTTTTTTGTCCTCTGGGTGCTCTCCAGATCCCGACATTCATCAGCTGAGCTGGTTGCCCTCTGGACAGTCAGATACCTCGAATGAACTTCATAATGCTATCAGCTGAATTGTTCAGCTAATCTGACTCTTGAAGAAACTATCATACTACCGCATCTCCTGCAAGAGTTTCCACTTTGGTAGTGCAACCAAGAAACACATGTGGTCATTTCTCTATGGCAAAAGTTGTCTCAGCGATTGTGCCAGAGGCAGATTGGTTGAGGCAAAGTCAGGATGCCTGACAGCCACAAAGATAACTCTGGATCATTGTGCGCTCGGAGAATGGTGGCCTCTGAAGAGGTTGAAAAATTACTGCTGAGCATTCTAGGGGCGCTGTAGATTTTGAGTCTCGCAGTCGTACAGAGTGTTTGCAGAAGATTTTGTTGCCTGGTGGTATAAGCCAATGCTGAGCGGGATGGCAGCTTGGGTGCTGAGCCCAATCCTCCCACCGGCTCAGCTGCTGCACCGCTGCACTTACTGTGGGCTTGGCTGCTGCACGATGCGGAGCCCTGGTGCTGCTTGGTGAATATAAAAGAGCCTCTCATGCCCACCGGTCCCAGTCATTCGCCATCATTCTCCCCATTCCCTCACTCCCCAGCACTCCCTACTCACAACCACCTGGATCCTCTACCGGGGTCCATCAGAACTTCGGCAATTGAGATGACAGGTACCTTCTCTACTAGCTACAAAAATGTCAGAGCAGCGATAACATTCTCCTTCATCTATATAGGGATGCAAAAACCACCTCCTGCTCACCACCCTCCAAGCAACAACTTCGGCAAAGCATCATCTTAAATTATTCCAGGCAATGTGGTACAATCTTTATCTCTCAAAGTAATGATCGCAAACTAACCTTTTCCCACTGGTAGACCAAAACAAAACTTGAAGCTCTCACTCGAACTCGCAGAAGATGCATGCAAGAAGGTAAGTACAGCAAATGGACTGATAAAAAATAAGTTGGCTAACACTAAAAAAGGGTTGATGGATTATGCGATGTGGAGGAGATGTTGAGAAATGAAATAAAAGACAGGTCTCTAATAATTAATCATTTGGCTGAAAAGGTTTGCAAGAGAAGGGAGTGTTTTAACTGCCGCAATCGACGATCACTCCAGCGGAACTTGTTATGGCGGACCTTGTTGATGAATTTCAACGCCCATTCCCGGCTGCCGGTGGCGTCGGCTTTCTCGATCTCTCGTAAAGCTGCTTCTGACTTTTTTGCTAGGGTCACACGGATTACCGGGTCGTCCTCAATCTCACCGATCCACATTGGCCGTCTGCTCCCGTCGGTAGGACTGGGTCGGCTGGGTAAGATTTGCGTCCGTAGGTCTAGTAGCTTCTTGCTCAGATACTACCTCTTCTTGTTCTCTGCGATCCGGTGAGCTACATCACGAGATGCCAATCGTCATCGAGTGGCTGTTGCCTCTAGAAACATGTGTGACAATTGGTATCTTGTGATGTAGTTTACCGGATCGCAGAGAACAAGAAGAAGTACCATCTGGGCAAGAAGCTACTAGACCTACGGACGCAAATCTTACCCAACCGACCCAGTCCTACCGACGGGAGCAGACGGCCAATGTGGCTCGGTGAGATTGAGGACGACCCGGTAATCCGTGAGACCCTAGCAAAAAAGTCAGAAGCAGCTTGACGAGAGATCGAGAAAGCCGACGCCACCTGCAGCCGGGAATGGGTGTTGAAATTCATCAACAAGGGCCGCCATAACGAGTTCCGCTGGAGTGATGGTCGATTGCGGCAGTTAAAACACACCCTTCTCTTGCAAACCTTTTCAGCCAAATGATTAATTATGAGCGACCTGTCTTTTATCTCATTTCTCAACATCTCCTTCACATCCTATAATCCATGAACCCTTTTTAGTGTTAGCCAACTTAATTTTTAAATAGTCGATACATGTACTTACATCCTGATGGCCGGTATGCTCTTGTCTCTTTTATGCCTTCGACCTTGGTCGATGAAATGGAATCCCCATTTCCTGCGCCAGGCGGCATCGTCTTGTTCAATCACTCTCAGTTCCTTTTTCGACCCTTTAGTTTCAGCTACATGACTTCAAGTACCTCCAGCCCACGCGGGTCCTCCCAGTCGGTAGGATTTTTCTCTTTCGGCCGGTCGAGGTTGCTCAGATGGTAATTCTTTCGGCCTTCTGTGATCCCGTATGCTTTTTGATTGACAGTGCCTTGTGCCGGGGTCTGCAGACGACGCTGTTGCTTGCGATGCTGAGCCCAGAGAGCTGGACCGTAGAGGAGAAAGCTCGGTGTGCACTGTGATAGCAGCTAGTTGGACACAAACTCCAATCCTACGATTGGAGCAGATGAACCTACAACTATGGCTTTGGCTGACCCTCTGATGCCACCCGGTTCCTGTCATTCTCCACGTTTCCTCATGTTTCCCGGCACTGCCTTGCAACTCACGGCCACCTGCATCTTCCCCCATTGGGGTCTCCAGACTCCACTAAACCCGATCCTCACTCACACTCAGTACTTTTAAATCTCTACAAGTCAAAAAGAAATCTGGAGCAGGGATAGCATCCCTCTTCATCTATGTAGAACCTCTTGCTCACTATACTTTAAGCAACAACTTCGGCAAAATAACCACTTACTAAATTATTCGAGACATTGAGGTACAATCTTAGTTTCTCAAAGTCATCCGAATGTAAACTAACAGTTTTACACTGGTAGACCGAAACAAGAGTCGAAGCTCTCCCTCAAACTCACAGACAAGATTCTCTCAAGATCAGTTCTACTAATGATTGACATGGGATTGGTGTGTAAAAAAAGGATATATACAAGAATTTAAGTACACCATTAAATGGACTGCTAAAAATTAAGTTGGCTAACACTAAAATGAATCAATGGATTACGGGGTGAAAGAGATGTTGTCGAGAAATAGGATGAAAGGTAGGCCTCTAATGGGTAATCATTCGGCATAAAAGGTTTGCAAATGAAGGGTGATTTTTAACTGCCGCAATCGACCACCACGCCAGTCGAGCCCGTTAAGGTGTTTCAGAGCCCATTCGATGAATTTCAACGCCCATTCCCGGCTGCAGGCGGCATCGGCATTCTTCCGTAAAGCTTCTTCTAACTTTTCTGCTAGGGTCTCACGGATTACCGGGTCGTCATCAATCTCACCGAGCCACATTGGCCGTCTGCTCCCGTCGGTAGGACTGGGTCGGCTGGGTAAGATTTGCGTACGGAGGTCTAGTAGCTTCTTACTCAGATAATATCTCTTGTTGTTTTCGGCAATCCGGTAAACTATTGATTGACCTTTGCCGGCCGGTACGACGATCGTCAGCTCGTGATGGTCGCCGTGCTCTCGCCATCCTTGAAAGGTGGGAAGGATGAAGACCCTCTTCATGAACTTGTTCACTTCAGCTTCCGGTGCAAACTTGGCGGCCATGATCTTCAAAATCGAAATTAATTTCGTCCTTTTTCTTTTGATCAAGTTCTTGAGCTCAAGTGCTTATACACTGATACCGTAGGATTGAAGCTGAGACTACAGGACGATGATCAACAACGACGAAGCGAGTGAAGGTGTGCGATGAAATAAAAATTAATATTACGGGAGACCGGCCCGGAGAAGCAAACAGTTAAGAACTTAGAAAAGCCGGGTTGGTTGATAGTTAAGAAGTTATATTCAAGGCGGATGAAGGTTGATGGATGTGGAGGAAAGAAGCCAAGCAGGAGGCAATGTCCATTCATAATATACCATCCATGATTAGAGACCGGTCAGTGTTTGTTTTGCATGAGGAAGGCTACCGGAAAGGCCATGATGGCGGTCCGGAACAAAGGCAACCTTGATCCCAGTATCCACACAGTTTAGGCTCGGCCAGCTGTCTGTGTCCCCCTTTGTGGTACCGTTTGAACAGCCTGAACAAGAAAAGAAAAAAGCGCTCTTTTGCAGCAATCGGTTTCCTCTGCGGATTATTCCCAGTCAACACTTGCAGCTCAGGTTCTACACAGATGATCGATGCCCGACCGCTGGCTCACCGGTCCTGTACTGTCCAGATCGATGGAAAACCTCTCGCCTGGTCGAACGTAACCGAGTCTGCCAACGGGTAAGCTCTCGAACCTATTTCCAACATCAATAACTGCATCTTTAAAAAGCTCGGTTCGTGGAACCGCCGTTGAGATCGGCTCTTACCGAAGCCTTACAGAGCCGATCTTGTCGGCTCCACGGAGGGGCAGTGATCGGCTCGGCAGGAACTGCAATGACGTCATCATGGCTCTGCGAGATGAGAATTGGATCAAAACTCCAAACTTAAATGGTGAAAATCCTGGAAGATCCTGCAAATCTGTCCCTCAAAACACTTTATATTCCAACTCGTTTGCCTTCAAGTCTATACACACCCATCACGAAATTTCAAAGCTTTGCCCGAATGGACGACTCAAGCAGTGGACAGGCCAAACCTGATGAACCAGAGCTGGGAATAGAGCTTCGACGCCAAGCAGGTATCATGAATTTCTCTGTTCATCAAAAGCAAAAGCATCAAACAGCCTTAATGATGTGAATTTTCCCCAGATCTGATCATCCAGGACTTCAAACGACTGAGGAGGAACGTTAATTCCTGGCCAACTGCTGTTGAAACGGAGGTCTCGCTTGAGAAACTAAGGCCCGAGAAAGAACTTCTGACTCGTTTGGACTCAAGCCTTTTACCTCAACTTCGACAACAATGCGCCGATCTGTCACGATTGTTACGCAAAGGATCCGACTTAAAAAAAGACCCGGCCTCAACTCTCAAGCTCATCTCAGACATCCAAGCCAATCTTCATCTCACTCTAGGCCAAATTATTGAGACGCTCAATGCAATTTTTCCCGGAAGAATCCCCAAACCTTACCAGACAAAGGACCAACACTCCAACGAGTTCAAAATCTATAGACTCTACTGTTTCGAAATTTCTATCAGAATCGATCTGACATTCCACCTCGAATATCTGTTCCAACAGTCCGTTTATGTGATCAAAGATTTCAAGCTCTCGAAGAACGTTCATCGATGTTATATGCAGTGTGCATCTTCTAATACCGACGAGGCAATCGATTCGGCCATTGGATTTTCAAAGAAGTCCGAACTAAGTCTGATCTGGGATAATTGGGAAAACGCGCTGGACCATTATGATGAGAAATTAGAACTACTATTAAGCCGGAAGGATTCGATGCGAATTGAAGATGACAATCTCTGGAGTGAAGCAGCCATCGACCTCGTTAACTCACTCATCCCAGTTTTCAAACTATCAAGACTGTTTTTCAAGAAATTATATCGACAGAGAATCAAGCAACAAGTCAAGTTATTTACAGAGATGTGCTCTGATCAACTGTATTGGTTAGACCGATCAACAGATGACATACGCAAATCGCTTTGCTGTATTCTGATTTGGATCGGAGATGTTGATCGCCTTGAAGATGTTGATCGCCTTGAAGATGTTGATCGCCTTGGCCCCCTCGAAACTATGCTGGCAATCGTGGAAGGAGTCAAACAGCTTGTTACCTATTTCAAATCTTATCTATGTCTTATCAACCGGCATATTATCCCTCATCTATTCCCAGTGGACATTGATTTCACTTCTTATGTTTATTTCCAAAATTGGTACATTACTTGGGCTACTTCCTTTCTACTGGCTACTGATAATTCTATTCAGATTGCCCAATCATTTGATGAGACTTGATTCAGTCTTCTGTAGTATGTTTATAATTCACAGCTTTCCAACTACATCTGTTTCTTATTTATGTTCTTTTGATTATAGTGAATTTGTACAGTCATTTTGAGTGATAACTTGACCACTGTTCTGAAACTAAAGCAGTTTTTACTGGATGTGAATGTTAAATCATACCTGTCAAACAAGGAAGGAATTTGCAAAACCCAACAAGTTGTAGTAAGTCACATTATTAAATTTCTCACTCTTAATTAATGTCCCACATGCAACACGTGCAGTCTTTTCAAGGGCCAGCTGAGACCCTTAGTCCACTGAGATGAGTAATGAGAAAGACTGGCAGAGCTGAATTTACAAACGTTTTGGGAGATGGATTTTATGTGACCAAAGGGATATTTGAATGACTCAAATGTGTGGCAACAAATCGTAATACACATGGGAAGTTAAAGAACAGAGATTACTGAGAAACACAAGAAAGAAATGCAATAAAAAAAGCAAATTTTTGCCACACCTGATCAAGTGAACACAAATCATTGTTTGCCAAGCTAAAAAAAATAAAAAGTAGGGTTCTTAGAATCATATTTCACCTCTAAGCAAGGTATACAATGAGGTGAGTAGTTTACAAAGCTGTGTATTGGATGTGTGCATCATCCAATTGACAGCTGTGATGTGTTAGTTGACAAGATCAGAGCTAACTGCAATTTGAGAAATTTAATCATGGCTAATGTGAGTCTGTTGAGAGTTCAAAACTTGATTGCACCCAGTATGTGTGTCAAGGCCTTTCATCCTATACAGCAAGAAGAATGTCTGTTTGCCTATTCAAATGCTTTCTAGAACAACAAATGGTGCATAATGCACCTAGAAAAAAAATCTCAACATGAGACTCTCAGAAAATATCAACACAAAAATAGTCCTGAACAGCCACCATTTTCCAATTTGCAACCAAAAGCCCATTGATCAAGAATATGATTGATAAGCTAATTGATCATCTTGGTGACAACCTTTCTTCTTTATAATCTTAGTATGCATACAAAATGAATACATTATTTTGTTCTAATCTTCTTGCAGTACACAAATATGTGCAACAAATTTCTGAACAGTGGGTGCAACGCTGGGCCAGCTACGCTAACCGTAGCGTTAGCGTGGCGTAGCGCAGCGGAAATGCGCTACTTTGTAGCGTAGTGTTAGCAAAAAATCCACCTTTCTGCGCTAACGCTACGCGCAAAGGGCACAAAAGTGTGTTAGCTGTTAGCGCAGCGTTAGCGCAGAAAGTTGGAATTGCGCTAACGCTACGCGCTCAGGGCACCAAAAAGTGCCCGCTACACCGCGCTACAGCGCTTTTTAGCGAATTTTTGGCCTTTTTTGCCGCTAAAAGCGCTGTAGCGCAGCGTAGTGGCTGTAGCGATGCGCTAACACTACCCAGAAACAAGCCGCCTGTTAGCGGGGCTACAGCGTAGCGGCGGTAGCGGCATGCTAACAATACAGAAAAAAAGGCCTGTTTCAGCGCCACTACACTAACGCTAAGTGGCCCTTTAGCGTAGCGGCCCAGCGTTGGTGGGTGGACTGTTATTTTTGGCAGCTTGTTTTGGATTCCAGAGCTTCAAAGCACATACTTAAAGTCACAAGACTTGGTGAAGTGGTGCAGAATAGGTCCCAGAAAATGAATATGAAGAAATAAAAACAAGAAAACAAAATTAAGTTTCAAAATTTGTCATAAATTATACCAAGTAAAATTGGGTTTTTGCCCAAACACTTTGTTATTCATTCATTTGGGAGGAGTGGGAGTGCTGAGAGAAAGAAAGAGTGGAACATGGAAAGAATGATTTTATAAGTGAAAAAAACAACTGGAACCATCAAAGGTTGAGCCAGGTTGGTTGTCCATAAAGATGGCCTTGCGGTACCCGTTGGGCGGTACCCGGGACCCATTGGCGGGTACCGCCTTCACTCCTCCGGTACCCAACAAGTGGTGCCGGGTGCGGTACTCGGTGCCTGCTTTTGGGAAAAAAAGCAGACGGTACCCTGGTACCTTCAAGGGTACCCGCCCCCAAACCCCCTCCTCGGTGGCTTGACCGAGACTAACTGGTCTTGTCCAGGTTGCTGGAGAGGACCCCTCCTCGGCCACCTGATCAAGACCAATCAGGTTGCTGGTAAGGGCCCTCCTTGGGGACCTGATTGGTCTCAACCAGGTTGCCTGGAAGAAGCTCCGGTAGCCAGGCGGTACCTGCCAGGAGTACCGCCGGTACCCGTCATACTTGAGCGGGTGCGGTACCCGGTGTCCGTTTTGGCCGAAAAAAGCAGTCGGTACCCGGGTATCAACGGGTACCCGGGTCCCATGGGGCCATCTTTAGTTGTCCAGATTGGATTCAAAAAAGTAAATTCTAGCGCTTTACTACAAGGTGAGTTGGTGAATGCCCTACTCAACAGCCGTTTAAAACCATCTGGCCAGAACTTTCTTTTTTTAGTTTTCATTCATAATCATTCTTCCCATTTTCAATTATTTATTTTTTTCTCTCAGCCCTCCCACTCCCCCAAAATGAATATCAAAGCTTTAGAAAAAAAAAACATTTTTATTTTTTATGTTTCACAAATTTTGAAACTTTGTTTTTTGTTTTTATTTTTTTCGTATTCATTTCCTGGGACCTGTTCTTCACCCCTTCACCAAGTCAGCTTGTGAATTCAAGTTTGTAATTTGAAGCTTTGGAATCCAAAACAAGCATCCAAAAATAACAGTCCACCCACTGTACAGTGCCAGCGATGGGCCGCTACGCCTTTGGCCCAAAAAGTGTAGCGTAGCGGCACCTTTTTTGCATCAAAAAAAGTGTAGTGTCAGCTTTTTTAGCGGATTTTTGCTACGCTGCACTACAGCGCTTTTAGCGGCAAAAGGGGCCAACAACCGCTAACAAGCGCTGTAGCGCAGCGTAGTGGGCCCTTTTTTGCGGCCCACACGCGTAGCGTTAGCAGTGTTGTGGCAGAATTCCGCTACACTACGCTTAACACTAACGGGAATTCTGCTGTGTTACGCTACACTAACGGCTACGGTTAGTGTAGCGGCCCACCGTTGACAGTGCCTAGACAGTGAAAAGAGTGATTTTGCATATTTTATGCAAGTGCACCCTGCAGCTACAGAGTCAGTGCACCGTTGCTCTGTAGTTTGCCACCTCCCTATCCAGCCCGTCGCTACCCTCCCTATTGTTTCACAAACAACAACAATGGACAGAAAACACAACAAAAGTAAGTATTTCCTTTCTTATTTATCTCCTTTCTGGTACTGATTCATTTTTGCAATTCTTCAGATGCCGCAAAGACCTCAAAAACCACAGGTGTCATTTGAGCAAAAACCAATCATTGTTGGCATTTCAAAGGCCAGAATGAAGCCAAAAAAGATCTATCAACATACCAGTATTGGATGAACAACAGTATCTGCCATCAGTGCCCATTTGCTTGCTTGTGGGACCATTTCAAGGCATCCCAAGACTAGCAAGACAGACCTCCACCAGCTTGGAAGGATTCTCAAGGAAATCCCTTGCATGAAGATGGTGGAGTTTCAAGAGCAACTTGCTGTTCCAATCAGTACCCAAACTGCTAGACAACAAGCTCACAAGCTTGGTTTCAACAATTGGGTGGCTGTGAGGAAAACTTTCCTCACCAAAAACCACAAGCAATGTGGCTTGCAATTCAAAAAACACTACGAGGACTGGAGGAAGATTGTGTGGAATGACAATTCCTCCTTTGAAATCCCAAAAGTTGGAGAGTTGACTCACAAACCCCCAAAACCCCCAATTTTGGGAGTCGATCCCCCAAACCTGTCAGCAGGTTTGGGAGTCGGATCCCCAACAATTTTTAAAAACAAAAACTGAAACCCCTGAAGGGGGGGGGGGGGAGTTGATGCCTCAAAAACCACTGGGATTTAGGGGTTGGCAAATCAAAACAGCCCCCCAACGGGCCGAATCCTCAGGCCATTGAGAGCACACTCTCACAGAGGGCGCTAACTCTCAATGGACGAGAGTGCATACCTCTCGTCCGTTGGGAGTGTACATTCTCATGGACAGAGCCTTTATCTTGGC